TGGCCTGGACGTGGTACCTGGATAGGATCATCTCGCCACCCGTGTTGCCTCCGTCGGATCTGCTGGTCGGTGTGGCTGTAGTCGATGATATCCTCCAACCATCCGCTGCTAGCTTGTCGTAGATGGAAGGGGCTTTTCCATGCGATATGTGTGTTTCAACCAATGCCACCATCTGATATGGTTTGCCTGGCCCTGCCAGCCATTTCTCCGACTGCGGCCCCCACTGAGTAATGTTGGAGAAGAACAGGGAGTGATCTGATGGCGTGGGATTCGTAAGGCCTTCGTCTTGGTAGGCGGGTCTGGGGTCGGGTCTTGGGCTGCTGGGCTTCAAAGGGCCTTTCGCTGCGGTCGAATCGATAGCTTCCGCCATCTCATCGCCCCCTACCAAGGACTGCGTCTTGGGCGGGGCGGCATCAGGGTGTGCCGTTGGCAACGGCTCCCCTGGTACCTGTACCATATGCCTGTCGACAGCTTGAGCCGTCTCATCGCTCCCTACCGAGGACAGCGTCTCGGGCGGAGCGGCATCAGGGTCGGCTCGCGCGGCACGCTGCGGCTGCACTGGGTCCCATGTCACTGTGTCGACGGCCTGTGCCGCCTCATCGCCCCCTACCGAGGACAGCGTCTCGGGCGGGGCGGTAGCGTACTGCGCTGTGGCTGCGAAATCGATGTGGGCGTCCAACTCGGCCAGCTCGTCGAACGGGTCGAGGACTGCGTCCATTGTGTTGATGATCGGTGGGTTGTCGTAGCTCTTGGTCTCTGACGGTAGGCGTCCCGTCTCACCAATCCGTCCAGGGTCGGGTAGTAGTCGGCTAAAGAGGCTGCTGGGCTCCAGCCACGGCGGTCGCGGTGGGCTTGCGCATCTGGCTGAGCATCTTCTGTGCCTTGTCTTCGAGGTCGGGGTCCTTGTTGATCGCTGGTACAGGCTGTGCGGCGCAGCTGCCGTCAGAAGTAGCGCCAGCAGCAGGTGCGGGAGGCTCATCGCTTGGCGCCGCTGGCGAGGAGGCCGCAGCGCCATCAGCGTCCGCTGCGGCTGCCGCTGGGGGTTCGCCTGCTGCCGCCGAGGCGGCGGGCGGTGGTCCACCTCCCTCTCGGGCATGACCGTCCTCGTCGGACCGCTGTCGCTTGGAGGCGAAGCGCGTGCGCATGGTGCTGGCCTCTGCGCGGAGCTGGCTGATGCGGCTGGCGGTGTTGCCGAAGAGCTCGGTGACCTTGGCCTTGAGCTCCGTTGCGAAGCGCTGCTGGAGGGATTCCCATGCCTGGCGGTCGCTGTCGTCGATGTCAAGGCCTTGGAGATCGACGGCCGAACCCGCCTCGATGGAAATGTCACCGTCCTCGAGGAGGCTGGTGAAGTTGAACGTTGGGTTCTGCTGCGAGGTCGTGGGAGTAGCCGTGCCGCCCTTGCGAGCGACTTGGAGTGCATCGAGAGCGGCTTGGGCCTCGGCCTGGGCTTCAGCCAACTAGTAGGCGGCCTCCTCCGACGCCGCCTTGCGCTCGGTGTACCAGCTGAGCGCCTTTTGCTCGCTCTCGAGCAGCCTTTCCAGGTTGTTCTTGCAGCGGCGCTCCGTAGCCTGGGCGCGGCTGTAGATGTCGTTGAGGTCGGCTGGCTTCTGCGGCTGGGGCGGCGGAATCTGCGACTTGATACCGTCGATGGCTGCCTTGTCAATGTGGGGGGCGATCGCCTGGAGCTCCGCAAGGATGTCCTCTGCGGAGCGCGCCTTGGGGGTGTCGTTCTTGTTGGCCCACCAGTCGTCCTCCTGGTTCTTGCCATTGCCATTGCCGCGGCGGCGGCGGGACTTGGGCCATGACGCCCACGGTTCCCATCCAGCGTCAGGGCTGGGCTGCTGGGTGCAGCTGGAGTCAGTCTGGGCCGCGGCCTTGGCGCGGGCCGCCCAGGCACCTTGAACTGGAGGCGGGGAATCTGTCCACGGCGCCAAGGCTTTGCTGCACCAGTAGCACGTCTGGTTGGTCTTGTAGTTCCAGGCGTACGAGCAGGAGTAGCACTTGACGTAGGCGCTGCGCTGCTGCGGGGGCGCCATGGACGAGCTGAGGAACAGAGGAAGCTCACCTGCGGGCTGCAGGAGGCACACGGAGGGTAGGACAAAGCTGTCGGGCTCAAGAGCCCTGGCACTGGCCGCGGACTAGCGGTATCCACTTGTTCCACTGTGGAACTAAGCATCTTGAGCCAAAATGGCTACGGAGGAGGAGGAGGAGGAGGAGGAGGAGGAGGAGGCTTCTTCCCGCGCCACCGCCAGTGGCCCACAGAGCGCCGCGCCTCGCGCCTCGCGGCCTGGGCCGTCGGGAGCTGCTCCTCTGTGGGGGGGGGGGTGCGGCGTCGGAGCCCGGAGGCTCTCGGTGCCGCGCGCCTCGCGCGCTCGTAGCGAGGCGCAAGGCCGTCGGGCGACCAGTCGGTATCGTTTATCCGATCCCCATCCCCATCTCCATCCCCTTCGAGACCCCCACCAAATTACCACCCCAGTTGGGGATACACCCCTCGAAACCCGAAGAGAACGACATATATCCCCATCTAGGGGGGTAAGTCGGCCAGCGGGGCCCAGGCCATGCCGCTGGGGATGGGGATCGGTTAATCGATGCTCAACCAGGGGTGTCCGAAGCGCGTTTTCGGTGCCATGCGGTCGGACCAGGGCAGGAGATCGAGGTCGGTTCGGGGAGGGTGCCCTGGTGTTCTTCGTGCTCGTTGGATGTTCTCGTGCATCCTGGGGGAGGGTACCTTGGGATGTTCGGCGTGTTTTGGCTGACGGAGGGTCTCGTGCTCTCGAGGGATGTTCTTCTGGCCTGGGTCCGACGGTGTGTCCGTCAGCTGCGGAACCGCTCCCCGTCCTCGAGGGGTTGACGAGGCCACGGGGTCCCGCATCCTCCCCCTGGATCCCTTGTGACGTGCGTGCGGGGGCCGCAGACGGGGTCGGATGATCGCGTCGCGGTTTTTCCCCGTCCCGACGTCGCCATCGAAGCATCGGCGGTGCGGTGCGATCCTTGGGCCCTATCTGGCCTGGCCCCGTGCGGGAGGCCTCCAGGAGGTCCCCTGGAGGTCTCCGAGGGTCCCCAGTTGCCTCTGGATTCCGGAGGTCCGAAGAGCCCAGATGTCCAAGGATGATTTCGCGCCTCGATTCCCTGGCTTCGTTTGTGCGGCTTCTGTGTGGGCTCTCTTGCGTGGAACGGCGACGACGACGACGATGGCGGCGACAACGACGGCAGCGACGGCAGCGACGACGACGACGACGACGACGACGGCGACGACAAAGACGGCAGTGACGGCAGAGATGGCAGCGGCGACGACGACGACGACGACCATGGCCCTTCTCCTCCTCCTCCTCCTCCTCCTCCTTCTCCTCCTCCTCCTCCTTCTCCTCCTCCTCCTCCTCCTCCTCCTTCTCGCGACGACGACGACGACGACGACGACGACGACGGCGACGATAATGGCGGCAGCGACGACGACGACGTCCCAGACCTGTTTCGGGGCGCGTTCCGACCAGAGTTGTGGAGGCGGATCCAGTCGTGGCCACGAGGGTGCCGAGCCCCTGGAGGCCCGAGGAGGCCCCACGAACCTCCTCGAACCGCGATGCTCGATCGACTACCTCCTGCGGCGCTGCCTCTTTCCTTTTTCTCTTCTGTGACGCTTCCGGTTGGTAGGCAGGGGCAGGTGGAGGTCTTGTTTTTTGGGGTATTTTTGGGCGAAAGAGGCCCGTTGACGCTCGGATACCCATGCACACTTGGTATCATTATGACTCGGGGCGCGTAGCATCCGAGGCCACGCCCACCGTGAGCAGAGTGGTGGGGAGCCCATCCACTTGCACTGTTGAGAACATTTGCGATCACGTTCACCTCCTGCGGCGCTGCCTCTTTCCTTCCTCTTCTGTGGCGCGGCCCCTTCCCCTGGGCTTCGGCCCTCCCCCCTGGGCGCCGGCTGGTCGTCCTGAGCCGCTCGTCCTCGGCCCCAGGCCCCGGCGAGGGCCCCTTCAGGCCGCTGGTGAGCCAATGCCTCCCTGGTCGGGAGCTGCGCGAGGGGGGAGGGGGACACGGTGGAGGGAAGGAATTCAACCGAGAGCCGCACCGCATCCTCTGCCTTCCTCCTCCTCCCCCGCCTTCGTTCGGTACGGTCGCTCCTCCTCCTCCTGCTCCTCCTCCTCCTCCCTCCTCCTCCTCCTCTTCCTCCTCCTCCTCCTCCTTCCCCCGCAATTCAAAGTTGGCACGTTCCTTGAAGACCGCTCGGAGGCCCTAAATCGGAAGATCTGAAACCAACATTGCATCTGGGGGGAGGGGGGGAGTTCAAACCAGATGTTCTGCATGAGTACTGCTTAATTGTTTCCGACACCTGTAGGCTCAGGCGTGAATGCATCGACTCCCAATCGCCCATTCATGGCCGATGCCGCTGGTGGCGTAAAAAGCGCCCATCCACAGACGTTGCTTCGACGGTGCCGCCCCCGGACCCTCCATTTCAATGTTGCATTCGTGGCCGTTGTCGGTGCGCAAACATCGGCATAAAAAACGCCCCAAACTCCACCGCCAAGGCAACCCCGTTTTCAACGTTGGAATTGGGGGGCACGGGGGTTCTGAACACAGCGGCGTTGTTCGCCGATTGCAGGTGATGCCCCCCCCTGAGCCAGCCCCCCTATCGTTCCCCCTCATGTGTGGTGTGGGGGGGTTCGGAGGATCGAACGCCCCCAAATTGTACGCTCGACCTCCATTCCTGAGGCGTCTTGTTCCTCTATTCCCGGGGTCTTCTCCTTCCTCCAGAATGGAGGCCCGACCTCCAGAGTCCAGAGTGGAGGTTGTCGAGTCTTTCAGTGGGTTGTCGTCCCCCCCTTGCCCGGGGAAGTCGCGAGCTGCGCGGAGGGTCTCAGCGACCTGCTGAAGCCACTCCTCCTCCTTCTCCTCCTCCGCTTCCTCTTCCTTCTCCTCCTCCTCCTCCTCCTCCTCCTCCTCCTCCTCCCTCCTCGATTCTCCTCGGCCCTCGATGCTCCGCCCCGCTCTCGTGGGGTCAGGGCCTCAGCGATCTCCTGAAGCCTCTCAACAGCGAGTACGGCGTGACCGCCAAGGAGGACAGCCCCGCCACGTGCCCGAGCGCCGGCTGAAGCCTCGTGGTGGTGGTGGTGGTGGTGGTCGTCCTCGTCGTAGGTTGTCGCCGTAGATCCTCGTCCTCCTCCTCCTGCCCCTCCGTCCCCTCCCCTACTCGCAGATCCTCCTCCTACTCCCTCTCCTCCCTCCCTCCCGCCCTCCCTCAGCAGCGAGTGCGGCGTGACCGCCACGGAGGACAGCGTCGGCACGCGCCCGCCTCCGCCTCCCGGCGGTGCTTGGCGCGCTCCCGCGCGCGCTCCCGAGGGCTCGGGAGCGCGTCGTCGTCATCGTCGCCGTCGTCGCCGTCGTCGCCGTCGTCGTCGTCGTCGTCGTCGTCGTCGCCGTCGTCGTCGCCGTCGTCGCGTGGCGAGGCGCAGATATCTTCGCGCCAGGTCTCCAACAGGCCTCCTGGAGACGGGCAGGTCTCCAACCGGGGCCGCGACGCGCCAAGCGCGGTGATCCCCTTCGCGCTCCCGTGGGTGACCTGGACACATCTAGGGAGCCAGATGCGAACCCTACCCCTACCCCCTACGATTTCTGAGGGGAAGGGTTCGCATCTGGCTCCCTAGTATCTGCCACATCATGACGGCCGCGCTCAGGATGGCTCATCCGAGGCCCCCAGATCAAGCGTCACGGAAAATAGAGAAGGCCTGAGTTTTTACAGTGTCGGGGATTCGGAAGCTCTTTTTCGGGACCAATCGATTGAGACTGCCTCAGGCTGTATGGCGCGGGAAGTTTCAACCTGCGCAACCGTTGAACGGTGGCGCGCTGTGACACGAGCAGCCCCTCTTCTGGGTCCTCCTCCACCTCCACCTCACGGACGTCGGGCGACCGACGACGGACGTCGGACGACGAACGACGACGGAAGGACGCCGGACGGCTGACGAGGGCTGACGACGGCTGACGACGGTTGACGCCTGAGGACCGACGACGGACGCCTGCTGACGGATGCCTGCTGACGGACGACGGACGACGACGACTATGACGACGACGATGACGACGACGACGACGACGACGACGACGACGGGAAGGTACGTGGTGCTAGTGTTCGCGATTGTGATGCTCTTCCTCTTCTACACCCTGCTCCTGCTGATCAACAACCAGTCGGTCCTGCTCCCCCCCGAGGAGAGAGCGGGCGGGGTCTCCGTGCAGGGGACGGAGAGGAGGAGGGGGGGAGAGGGAGACCTCCTCCTACTGGGTCAGGGGGGAGCTCTATCGCCCTCCTCTCCGTGCCTCTGCAGTTTCGTCGGCCTCCTTCGCTCTTGAGGACAATGGTCCTTCTGAGTAGTTTTACTTTTTGTGGTCAGGAGTCTCCGTTTTGAGATGGAGGCAGATCTCAGGTGGCTTACACCCAAGAGTCTTGAAACAGGAATGTGGCAGCCTGTCTAAAGAACGCGCATCCGTTGATTCTTCAAGCCCGCAACCAACACACTGGTGTATTTTCTTTTGGTGCGCACATAACTCGAGGGCCTTGCTGACCCGACTCTCGACAAATGCTCACGCGCATTATACAGTGCCGTTTTTAATACATGCTCCGCGTGCGGATCATGTAATACAAATGCAGGGATTTAGTATTAAAAACGACGATGAGTTCAAGCATTAATGAATGAATTAATCATATAGCAACCATCCCATAGTTTTGAAATTCTACGTGTTAAAAACTGCCCTGTATATACATATACATGCATGCGCATCACATGTGCATACACACATACACATACATCTACATACACATGTACACATACATGTACATCTAACTTTACAGGTACTGTTGAATCTGTATGTACATCTACATATCCATGCACTCATACATATGCAGATGCATACACATATACGTATACATACATACATACGCGTATACAGGTACATCCACATATACGCATACAGAAACATATGCACACACACTTACACATATACATTTGCATTTCCATATACATATACACATACGTTTACATTTACATGTACATATATATATACACGTATACATTTACATAAACATATACAAACACACACATATACATATGCATATGCATATACATATTCATAAACGTATCCATACACATATACATATACTTATACACCTACATCTACATTTACATATACATATACATATGCATGTACATTTACATATACATATGCACTAACATATACATATACATATACGTAGACATATACGTATACATATACGTATACATATACATGTAACGTTCATTTACATGCACAATTGCACATACATATGCATTTACACATCCACACCCATGTACATATACATATGCACACACATTGACATTTACATAGACACATACACATACACACATACATACACATACACATGTGCATGCACATGTACATGTGCATGTACATGATACGCTTACACATTCATATGCATATACATATACACGTACACATAAACACATACATACATACATACATATATACACACATACATACATACATACATACATACATACATACATACATACATACATACATGCATACATACACACATATATATACATATATATCTGCCTATATATGTACATACATGCATGCCTTGCTTCTCCTTCCGGCCAACAGGTTAGCATCTTCTTGTGTGCGTATGTATGCATGTATGTGTGTATATATATATATCTCTATAAATGTAGCATTCTGCCACCATCGCTTTATACAGGTATTTATTCAACCCCTGTGTCTTTCCCGCTTCTTCTCTCGCCAGAAAGCGATCGACGTATGCGCCACTTTGTCAGTCCCTATACGTCAGTCATGTTTGTCTGTTCTCTCCTTTCTCTCGCTCTTTTTCTCTCTGTCCTTTCTCTGGGTATCGGAGGTGAGGGAGTGATGTCGCAGTGGAACGGAGAGCTTTTTACCAGGAAATCGGTTTTGGTTTGGTGTTCGTGTCGTGAGTACGGGCGAGGCGAAGCTGCCTGGGGCGCGCGAGGGAAATGATGCCTCCGTGGCTAGGGGCTGTGGAGCCAGTTGTCCGCCCCCCCCTCCCCCGGCGCGCGGTGGCCGGCGGTGTCCCGTCGGTGTCCCGTCGGTGGCGCGGCGGTGTCATGTCAGTGGCCCAGGGTGTCCCGTCGGTGGCGCGGGGTGTCCCGTCGGTGGCGCCGCGGTGAGATCGATAGTGAGATCGATGGTGAGATCGATTGTGAGATCTGTTGTGAGACCGAGTGAGACCGATAGTGAAATCTGATGCGAGATCGATAGTGGGGTCTGTTGTGAGATCAATGGTGAGATGGCTCGTGAGATCCATGGTGGGATCGACAGTGAGATCGATACTGAGATCGATCGTGATATCGATTGTGAGATCGATTGTGAGACCGATAGTGAGATCGATGATGAGATCGATTGTGAGATCGATAGTGAGACCGATAATGAGATCTGTCGTGAGATTGATAATGAGTCCGAATGTGAGATCGATAGTGAGTTCGATTGTCAGAGTGATGGTGAGATCGATAAAGAAATCTGCTGTGAGATCGATCGTGAGATCTGTTGTGAGTTTGATTGTCAAATCGATAGTTATATCGTTTGCGAGATCGATAGTGAGATCTGTTGTGAGATCGATAGTGGGATCGATTGTGAAATCGATTGTGAGATCTGTTGAGAGATCGAGCGTTTGGTCGATGTGAGATCGATTGAACGAGACGTTCGTTCCCCCTCCCTTCCCGAACCTCAATATCACCCGATATGTGGTCTTACAGGTATGTATGTGCGCGTGTATGAAAGCATGTGTAAGCACATCTACGCTGCGCATGCACGCATGCATTTCCAGGCTTAGCTTTGTCCAGGAACCAACAGGAGTTGGATACTGTGGGCCTCTCTCACTACCTCTGGTTTTCGTTTTTTTGTTTTTTTTCGATTCTATCTCTCTCTGTTATCTCTGTCTTCCTCTTCCTTTACCTCTCTCTCTCTCTCTCGCGTTTCCTTGTTTCGCTCTCTCTCTATTTCTCTTTCCACTTTTTGTTCTCTCGCTCTCTCTCTCTCTCTTTCTCTTGTTGTTTCTCCCTCTCTCTCTCTCTCGCTCGCCCCCCTCCTTTGGAATTGCCGCTCACTCCATGTATCTGCGCTGCCTGCCTGCTCTCTCTCTCTCTCTCTCCATTTGTCCGTCTCTGCCTCTTTTCCTCTCTCTCTCTATATTTCTCTTTTTTTGTTCTCTCTCTCTCTCTCTTTCTCTTTCTCTCATGCACCTTGTCTTTGTTTTTTTTCACCCCCTCCCTCTCTCGTCAAAAAACAACTCGTCTATCCCAAAGGGGCAAACGTGAACGCATTGTTCCTCCCTCTGTGACTGCATGTCCGTATGTATGATGCTCCTTTTTCCCAACCCTCCTGTGTCGGGTTCTCGTTAGAGCACTGCGGTCGCGCACCTTCTCCTTCCCCCTCCTGCTCCGCCCCCTCCTTCTTCCCCCTCCTCCTGTCTCCTGCTGGGCTGCTCCTTGGGTGGCTGCGAACTGTGCAACTGTCGCCACTTTCGTGAGCTCCTCCTCCCACGGGGATGGGACGAGTTTGACCTCTCGGTGGCCCTCTGGGATCACTCTTGGGCCGTCTCTGGGGCCTCGGATGCCGTCTTGAAGCCATCTTGGAACGTCGCGGAGCTACCTTCGGACAGCCTGGGCATCTTTTATGCCACGGAGTGTAGATTGGGAGGCTCTGGAGGCTCTGCGACTTCGCCTGGGAGCTCGTGCCCCCGCCCCGCCCCCCCCCTTCTAACAGGATTTCTGACCCGAGGGGAGGTGGAAAGGGGGATCGGGGACAGCCAATCATCTCACATGCCTTTGCACCCCCAGCAAGCGGGGGTCGGCGGCGGAGGAGGAGGAGGAGGAGGACGAGGAGGAGGAGGAGGAGGACCAGTGTGAACCCAAGAGTCATCAACGAGGTTGGAATAAAGCCCTCCGTGCAAGCTCCCTCAGCAAAGGCCCCTACAACGTATCATTCCTATTGGGGGAACTGCTCCGTTGTAAGACAACCGTTGGAAGACGCTGAAGCATGCCAAAACCTTGTTCTCGGGAGTTCAATGCCACGGATCAACCTGACTGCTGCGTCTTGACCATCCTGAATCGTACCAGAACGCCATGTTTGGGATTTCAACACCGCGAATCAACATAACTGTTGCACCCGCATAATCCTGAATCCTTCCACAACACCGTTTCTGGTACGTTGACCATGGGAGTCCGTGAAAATTCTTCAACATTTTATGAAGGAAAGTGCGCGGTGCTAAGGCGAGAACGACATTTTGAAAAGGAACCGCCCTCAATCCGTGAAGCTCTTGTAAATCTTACAGACGAGTGTGCGCGGCGCTAAGGCGAGAGCCACACTTTGAAAAGGAACCGCCCTCAATCAGTGAAACCCTTGCGGATTTAAAAAAAGAATGTGCGCGGCGCTGAGGCGTGAGCCACATTTTGAAAAGGAACCTCCCTCAATCCGTAAAGCTCTTGTAAATTCTATAAACGAGTGTGCGCGGCGCTAAGGCGAGAGCCACATTTTGAAACGGAACTGCCCTCAATCCGTGAAGCTCTTGCAGATTTAAAACACGAATGTGCGCGGCGCTAGGGCGAGAGCCACATTTAGAAATCCACCCACCTTCAATCCGTGAAACTCTTGCATTTTTGAAACGAATGTGCGCGGCGGTAAGGCGAGAGCCACGTTTTGAAGACCACCCGCCCTCCATCTGTAAAACTGTTGCCACGTTTTAAGCTTTAGAGTCATAAATGGTGAGGAAGTCACAGGCGAAACGCCCAGCCCGCCCTAAAAAACTGGTCTCGGGGTGCGACAGGGAGAAGTTATTTATCAGGAAAAGGAATGGAGGAGGAGGCGGAGGAGGATGAGGAGGAGGATGAGGAGGAGGAGGAGGAGATGGAGGAGGCGGAAGTGGCGGAGGAGGAGGATGAGGAGGAGGCGGAGGAGGAGGAGGAGGCGGAGGAGGATGAGGAGGAGGAGGAGGAGGAGGAGGAGGACGTCGCCCTCGGATCCAGTTCTGATGGACTCCCCCCCCCGAGAGCCGAGAGGCCGAACCTGGGAAGAAGCGCCAGGACAGAAGGAGAAAGCAGCTTTTCGAATGTCCGGAACGCCCACCTCGCCGTCGCAGGAGGCCCGGGTCCCTGCCGAGCCGCTGGCGCTGGCGCCATGCCCGTCGGCTACGCGCAGAGAGGGTAGGGGGAGGGGGGGAAGGCTTCTTAGAAGCACTCCTGCTTCTTAGAAGGCGCGGGCCTTATCTCTAGATGTGAGGCCGGCGCCTTCTAAGAAGCAGCCTCCTTCTAAGAAGCCTTCCCCCCTCCCCCTACCCCCCTCTGCGCGCCGCCAAGCCTGGCTCCAGGCTGCCCGGACGGGATCGGAGCAGATGGTAGCGGAGGGTCGCGCTACATCGTTGGTGCAGCGGCGATGTCGGTCTATTCGGAGCCCCGTTTAACCCATCCCGAGGACGCCGACGCATCGCCGACGCATCTCCAAGCCTCCCACATGGAGTTCGACCAGAGGGGTGTCGGAGAGTCGCGCCGCATCGCCGATGCACTGGTGGTGCGGGTCGATTCGCAGCTGGACTTTCTCCATCCCGAGGACGCCGACGCGTCTCCCACGCATCGCATCGGCGCTGCGGTGCGATCCTCCGACCCCGCCTGCTCGGACCCCAGGTTGGCGGCCTCTAGCGGCGAGGCCACACCCACTGAAGGCCAGGCAGGTCTTCCGACCACTCTTCGCCCAGTCCCGGCCAGGACGAGTTTGACGAGTACGTCGCGAACTTCCTGCCGTACTTCTTCTTCGGCGAGCGGTGAGCGTTGGGCGTCCAGACGCTGCCGTGCTTCGGCTCGGCGATCCAGTCCCCAAAGAGTCTTGTGTAGGACGAATAGGGTGGATACATGATCCTGGGTCGAGGGCCCACGGGCCCCCCCCCCGATGGGATGAGTTCCAGGACTCCACGCCCCCCCCCTCCCAGATGGGATGGCGGGGCACGACGACGACGACGACGACGACGACGACGACGACGACGACGACGACGACGACGACGACGGCGGCGGCGGCGGCGGCAGCGGCGGCGGCGCCGACCTCCGGAGCCCTCCTCCGACGACGGCGGCGGCGACGACGACCTCCGGCGCTCTCCTGGAGCACCACAGTACCACGCCACACACGCCACACCCACAGCACCACACCGCACCCAAAGGGGGGGACCCATCGCGGGGGGGGTGACCCGATGCCATCAGCATGGTGGGTGGGGGGGGCCCAGCCGGACCTGGATCCTATGGGGGGGGTCCATCTTGGGGACGGGGAACATGAGACCTACTGCGCACATCAGGTTTCGGCACAGCCACTGGGCGCCTTTCCTCGATGCACGGCTCCGCCTCCGCGCTGGGAAAACCGGCCATTTGCTACCTCCCCTCTTCCTCGGGGGCAACGTCAGGGGGGGGGGTAGGCTCAGGGGTTATGCATCGACCTTCAGTGGCCCGTTCGTCTGTGAGAGGTCCCCGATGGCTCGCTCCGAGGCCCTTCGGGGTTCGGCAGCCCACGAGGCCTCCCCTCCTCGGGGGCGCTGGGCCGCCGAGCCGAGGCACCGCACGGGGTCCCCGCGGTCGTGGCCGGGGCGGGGGGAAGTGCGCGCGCAGGCACCGATCCTGGCCAGGCAGGCCCCTCCTGGGCCCAGCACCGGTGCAGACGCCTCCCTGGCCGAGCCCAGTGGGCGCACGCACGGGCCCTCGGCCCAGGAGGAAGCAGTCCAGGGCTCCGCCTCCTCCTCCTCCTCCTCCTCCTCCTTCCCCTTCCCCCTCCCCCTCCACAATTACTCAATATGAAAATACTCTCCCTCTTCCCCTGATGGCGTCCGGGTGATGGCCGCGCATTCTCCGCGTATTGTTTTTTACACACAGGATGCCTGGGAAACCCGGGGAAACGACTCTCGCTGAGGCGCCGGCGTCATTTTCGGGCCGAGCGCCCCCCGCGTACTGTTTTTTTACACACAGGATTCCCGGGTAACGGGTTTTCGCCTGCGTTTTTTTTTAATGATGCTCTCGCTGAGGCGCCGGCCTCATTTCTGCTCCCGAATCGTTCCGAATCGTGCTCCCGCTGCAGCGTGGGCCTCATTTTCGGATCGGTGTTTGGCCTCCGTCGTTCAGGATGGCGTTCTCGCCCCAGCGCGGGCCTCTTTCTCGCGCGCCCATCCGCCCGCCACCACCGCGCCGCACCACCACCACCACCACCACCACCACCACCACCACCACCACCACCACCACCACCACCACCACCACCACCACCACCACCACCACCACCACCACCAGCACCAGCACCAGCACCAGCACCACACCACACCACACCACACACACCACACCACACCACACCACACAACCACACCACACCACACCACCACCACCACCACCACCACACACCACGCACACACGCACGCACGCACGCACGCACGTGCACCACCACCCACTACGCACGCGCGCGCGGAGCCACAGGTCCGCTACGACACGCGTCCGCGGATAGAGAAAATCAGCGCCATGGTAAGGGATGGGAGGGAGGGGTAGGACGTCAGAGATGACGCGAGCGCACCTAGCTTGCCCTTCCCCCTCCCCCTCCCCCTCCCCCGGTGCATGGGCGTACTTCTCTTTCCTCTACCATGGCTTTGGCGAGCCTTGGGCGCAGTGGGCGCGGACTCCGGGCCGCCCGAGCGGGGCTGGAGGAGCAGGTGGGGTCGGAGGACCGCGCCGCGTTGCGCCGACGCATCGGCGATACGGTGCGATCCAGAGCTCGATCTTGTCCACCCCGATGTCACCGATGCGTTGCCGACGCATATGCGATGCTGTGCGAGCTTCCGACTACCCCGAGGTCCAGCCGTTGCCATTTTTGCACTGGGCGTTTTCGCCCAGTTTCGGGCCCTGGGACCATCGCAGATCGATCTGGCTCAAAAGATGCCACAGTTATTTTCTGAGATGTTACATCTTTTTCGCAACGTCGGATCTCAGGGTACGTCCCTCCAGCCCCCTTTGGGAGCCCTCCGTAGACTTGGGGGGCGCCAGCTCTGCATTGGCATTCAGTATCGTTTAACCTTTCCGCATCACCACCGGGCCAATTGTTCCTCAGACCCACCATCCCACCCCACCCAGTTGGGGATAGGCCCCTCGAAACCCGCAGGGAACGGCCTGCATCCCAATCTCGGGGGGGCAACTCGGCCAGCTGGGCCAAGGCCATGCCAATGAGAGTGCGGATCGGTGAAGCGATGCTCAGGCATCGGTCGTGGCACGGCCAGGACCCGCGTCGGTTCATGCGGCTGCCTGCGGCAAGTCCCGCCGCCGTGCCCGCGCAGCATCGAGGTGCAGGCGGGATGGATCTGCCATGTTCTCCCGGCAGGCTTGGTGGAAGCCTCGTGGGGCAGTCGGGAAAGCAGCGCCACGGTACCGCACCGGGGACCTCGCCGTCATTTTGTACGCGTATTGCGTTGGTCTTATTTTGTCTTGCATCTCAGAGCTTCCTGGAGGCGGGGACGTTTTGGAAGTCATGGCTCCCCCGACTCGCCTCGGTAGACCCTATGCGGGATTCCACCCAGCCCGTTGCGGTATTTCACCCAGCCCCCATGCGGTATTCCACCCACTCCCCTGCGGTGTTCCACGCAGTCGCCTGCAGCATTCCACCCAGCCCCCTGTGGGCCGTCTTGGAGGGATTTTGGGTCGTCTTGGGTTATCGCCAGGCTTTCATGAGGCCGTCTTGGAGGCTCGTTGGGTGTCTCTGGGGCCGTCTTGAGGCTCTCAAGGGCCTCCTTAAGGAGACCCTGGGCAGAGAAGTGCGTGAAGCGCCCCAGGGCCCTGCTGGAGAGCTCCTCGCGCGCCTCCCTGAAGCCTTCTCGGAGTATCCTGAGTCCCGGAATATCTGGGGCGTATTTTGAGGCCTACGTGAGAAGGTCGCTTCGCTGGCTCGGGTCAGTCTTGGGGCATCAGGCACCCGTTTCGGGGCGGGGACGGTCTTAGGCCGTCTTGCGGCCATCTTGACAATCGGCGGCCGGCCCAGGGGGGAAGGGAGGGGGAGCGGCTTCTCAGAAGGCTCAGAAGGCCTCCGGCCTTCCAAGAGGCTTTCTAAGCCTTCTCCGAAGACGCCGGCGGCTTTTCAGAAGGCCGGGGGGCTTCTGAGAAGCTCCGCTGCCTTCTGAGAAGTCCCGCTCCCTCTGCACCCCCGTGCGCGCCGCCGAGTCAAGACGCCCCAGCGGGGGCGGCATTAAGCGCGAAAAACAGCTCCCGCGTTTTCGCCTGAACTTCAACATCTTGTGGGGCCTAGAAGCGCCAGAGAGCAACTCCTGGATGTGTGAATATCGACCTCGTCCGCAGGGGAACCGCCTCTGAAAACTACAGCCATCACGAGGGTTACGAACGGTGCCAGCTTTGGAGAAGTGTCCTCATGTTCTTCGTGTTTGTGCTAAGTATCCATTTCTCGCCCGCGCTGCCCTCCTCCCGCTCTTGCATGCTGGCCAATTCGTTTTTCGGTGTCCCCGCCTGGCTCTATCGCTGGTGCAGCCAATTCTGCCTCCCCGCCGACGAAAAAAGTGTTTGGGGTATCCACCCTGCAGAACTCGTCCGTTCGGGGTATCCGCGTGAGACGTTGAGCCTACGGGGCACGTGGCCTTGACCCACGTTCCTGTGGCATGTCTCGGCTGTACAGGAGCCCTACCATGCAGCCAGTGGCCATTACAACACGTCACCTCGTGCCGAGGGCGTGGCGGTGGATCGTTGGCGTCCCACGGTTGGGGCAAGCCTGTGGCGTGCCGCGCCAGACCGGATGCGCGCGTGAGTTTTTCAACACCGGGTTCAGTTTTTTTTGAAGACTCCCTTGTGCCCACTAGCGACGGACATCTCCATGTCCATGCCCTCGCGGTCCCGTGCATACGTTCATGCTCCATGTCCTCGCGGTCCATGCTCCTCGCGGTCCATGCTCCTCGCGGTCCATGCTCCGCGTCCGTGCCCTCGCGGCCCCTCTGGCGACGGACATGTCCGTGTCCATGCCCTCGCGGTCCCCCGGATACCGAGGCGCGGTCCCGCGGACAGCGCGATCCCACGGGTACGTTCCGCGAGGCATCCGCGCAGGGCAGCCGTGACTCGCGGCCGTGGTGTCCAGACCGCGAGCCAGTGGACGTGGACATGCTTCCCGCCCACGAGAGGCACCCCGTCTCTCGCGCGCCTTCGCGGTGATGCCTCCACACTTTCTTGGCCAGCCTGCCTGCCTCTCTTCTCTCCCTCTCCCTCTCTCTCGTTCTCTCGATCGTCCGACGGCAAGCTCCCCAGGAGCATCAGGTAACTGACTGTGCGCGTCTGCAAAGACGCGTGCACCCGGATTTGCAACGCCTTTGAAGCATCAGCCCTGTTTTTTTCCTGACACTTTCCACGTCTGGAGCCCATTCTCGGGACAATCGGAAAAGGACACTGCCGATCCGAGGCGGCCCGGGCATCGGCTCGCGCGGTTCGGCCCATGCCACTCGCAGTGGCGTGAAGAGAACCGAGCCTCGCGCGATTGTTCCAATCTGCTGGTGTTCCAGCGGTCCCCACGTGTCTCGACCCCTTCCCCAGGGGGGCAGCGGATCGTGTCCGGGGTCGTGGTCGGAGATGGCCCAGAGAACGCCGAAGAGGGCCGCCCGGGGGCCGAAAGCCAGGAAGAGCGCTGGAATTGGGCAAATTTGAATGCAGCCCTCACTGCTGAAGTTCACGTCGTGAGTACCGCCTGCCCTTCAGAGGACGACTCCTGACGGAGCCAGCGCGCAGGCCGATCTGAACTGAAGTGAATTGAGCCTCGCTGCTGGAGAGGCGACCCCGGGGATGCTTGGGGTGCGTTCTGGGCAGAACTTCGAGGGGCGCTCAGCCGTGGCGACGACAGGCCTCTCGGCTCTCTCCCTCCTCATCCCCCCCAAAAACGTGCACGACGACGACGACGACCACGACGACGACGACGACGGCGGCGACGACGAGGACGACGATGACGACGGCGGCGGCGGCGGCAGCGGCGGCGGCGACGACGACGACGGCGCCGCCGCCGAGGACGACGACAGCAGCGGCGGCGGCGACGACGACGGCGACGGCGACGGCGACGACGACGACGAGACACTCCCAAACCCCGACCTTCTCGAACTTCGACCCCTGGGAGGTCGGGGTCCTCGCCCCTTGGTCCTCGATCCTCTTCGGTCTTCGATCTTCGGTCCTCGATCCTCCTCGGGGTCGATCCTCCTCGATCCTCGGTCCTCGTGCCCTCCGATCACCTCGAGACTCGACCCTTCGGTGACCTCGGCGGATGCCTTCGGGGACCTCCAGACACTTCTGAAGGCCCTGGGGCCTCTAGAGACCTCTCGCCTCTCCCACTCCCTCCCCCCTTTCTTTGCCTTTTACAACAACGCTCCTTCCCCGCCCTTTCCGCTCCCCCTCCCCTTCCCCCATCGCCCTCCTCCACATCGTCTTCCATCCCTCCGTTCTTCTCCTCCTCTCCCGCTCCTACTGCTCCCCCTCCTCCCCCTGCTCCTCCTCCTCCTCCTCTTCCTTATCCTCTCCCTTACCGTCTTTCTCCTCCGTCCTCCTCCGTCCTATCCTCCTCCTCCTCCTCCTCCTCCTCCTCCTCCTCCTCCTCCACGTCCGTCCTCCTCGTCCGTCCTCCTCCTCCGTCCTCCTCGTCCGTCCCCCTCCGCCCCGCCATCCTCCACTTCCCTGTGCCTCTGTCTTTCGACCAGGAGGGCTTTGCACCATCCCAGGGCCCAGGATGGCTCTGGCCCTGACTAAGCGCGGTAGCGCTATGCAGGTGCCCTCTGCGTGTCTCGTCTCTCTCTCTCTCTCTTTTGTTCTCTCTCTCGATCCCTCGCGTTTCCCCTCCTCCCTCCCCGGAGGATCGAGACCCTCCACTCGGGAGGTCGAGCTTGCGCTTTGGGGGACGAGGGAGGTCTGCGATCCTTTCCCCTCCCTCGTCACGCCTTCGGCGCGACCCGGCCGCGCCGTCTGCCCCGCCGGCCTCCCTCTCTTTCTCCAGGGATTGGGAGGGGGCAGGAGGCGGGGGAGGCGAGGGGGAGGGATGAGCAGGAGGATGAGGTAGGAGGAAGGGAAGGAGGAGGAGGGGGAAGGAGGATGAGGAGGAGGAGGACCAGTGTAAACCCAAGACCAACCCCTCCCTCCAAATTCCCTCTTCACAGGCCCCTATAAGGATTTCATTTTCACTGAAGGAGATGCTCCGTTGGAAAACAACCGCTTGACAATCCTGAGCTGTGCCAGAATATCATTATCGGGATTTTAGCGCCGCGAATCACCGTTTCTGTTGCGTCTTGACGATCCAGAATCGCGCCAGAACACCATTCCTGAGATTCAGCAACACGAATTAATCGAACTGTTGCGTCCTGACAGTCCGACATTGTGCCGAAACACCATTTCTGGGACGTTAATAATGAGACTCCTGGAAGCTGCTGTAGGCTCTGAAAACGAAAGTGCCAGGCGCTCAGGCGAGGGTAACATTTTGAAAAAGGAATCGCCCGCCATCAGTGAAGCTCTGGCGAATTCTCACAATCAATGTGCGCGGCGTTAAAGCAAGAGCTACATTTGAAAACGACCCGCCCTCCATACACGGAGCTCCTGCATTGTTTGAACATGAGTGTGCGCGGTGCTAAGGCGAGAGCCACATATCGAAAGCAACCTGTCCCCCATCCGTGAAACTCCTGCACATGTTCAAGACGAGTGTGCGCGACGTCAAGGCGAGAGCCACATTTTGAAAATGAGCCACCCTCCATCCGAGAAGCTTCTGCAAATGTTAAGAACGAATGTGCGCGGCGCTAAGGCGAGAGCCACATGTTGAAAAGGAGCCGCCCTCCATCCGAGAAGCTTCTGCAAATGTTTAGAACGAATGCGCGCGGCGCTAAGGCGAGAGCCACATGTTGAAAAGGAGCTGCCCTTCATCAGTGAAGCTCTTGCAAACTTTGAAACAAATGTGCGCGGCGCTAAGGCGAGAGTCACATTTGCCCACCACCCGCCCTCCATCCGTGAAGGCCTTGCACATGTTTAAGCCGATGTTCGCGGCGCTAATGCGAGAACAACATTTTGAAAACCACCCGCCCTCCATCAGTGAAGCTGTTGTCAGTTTGTAAGCAACAAGGTCGTAAATGGTGAAGGAGTCTCAGGCGAATCGCTTGGCCCGCCCTTTGGGCCGGCCTCGGGGTGCGACAGCGATGAGCTATCTAGAAGGAAAAGGAATGGAGGAGGAGGAGGAGGAGGAGGAGGGGGAGGAGGAGGAGGGGGAGGAGGAGGAGGAGGAGGACTCTGCTGGACTCTGCTGCGAAGCCACGCACGCGGCAACATTTCACTTTTCGCCGCCCCTGGGGTCGCGGGAGGAACACGAGCCTCCGCAGCCCCAGGGCAGGAGGAGGAGGGGGAGGAGAAGGAGGAGGACGAGGAGGAGGAGGATGACGAGGATGAAGAGGATGATGATGATGAGGAGGAGGAGGACGAGGAGGAAGAGGAGGAGGAAGAGGAGGAGGAGGAGGAGCAGAAGGCAGAGAGCAGAGAGCAGAGAGCAGAGAGCATGACGAGAAGAAGCGAAGATGAGGGATGCGGGACAGGAGGGAGGAGGAGGAGGAGGAGGAGGAGGAGGAGGAGAAGGAGGAGGACCAGGAGGAGGAGGAGGAGGAAGAGGAGGAGGAGGAGGAGGAGGAGGAGGAGGAGGAGGAGGAGGAGGAGGAGCGAGGAGGAGGAGCGAGCAGAGAGCAGAGAGCAGAGAGCAGAGAGCAGAGAGCATGACGAGAAGTAGAGAAGAGGAGGGATGCGGGACAGGAGGGAGGAGGAAGAGCAGGAGGAGGAGAAGGAGAAGGAGGAGGAGGAGGAGGACTTGTGTAAATCCGTGCCGCATCAATACACCCTCCCACCAAGTTTCCTTTTCATAGCCTCCTACACAGAGTCATTTTCACTTGTGGAAATGCCCCACTGGAAGAAAGGAGTTGCCTAGGTCACGACAGTCTGACACATGTAGACCTTCTGTTTTCAACTCTTGCCGACCCGTCTCAAGGCAGCGGCATGCGTTACCTCGAACTTCACATATTGTCACAACACCACGCTTTCACATTGAAGCGCTCGGAGTTGCCAAAGCTACGTGAGCGCAGTACATTCGACTTTGTGTTGTTTTCCTCATCCGTGCAGGCCGTTCTCATGGATATGGTTCTTTCGGGGGGGAGGTGGTGTGACAGGGAGTGGGGAGATTAGTATGGTTCGAGGGGGAAAGTTTGCGCAGATTTTGTGAATCCAAGCCGCAATTTCAAGCGATGGCCCCAGGAATGGCATCCACGCCGCACGCATCACCCGACTGTCCCTGTATGGACAGTATCATGGCGCGCGAATCGACCTCTGCGAGCGTGTTGACCGCCAGGGCTGATGCTGCGGAGCCGAACGTGCCGACGCCTGATTTACGCAGCGGCAAGCCCTACTAAGCATGACCTTGATTTGTTTAGGACTCACGGTGAGGGCAGTGTGGAGGAGGTGGCAGGGGTGGCTTTGTCTTAGGAGGATTGGCGCGGGATGATCTGCGCCGCTTCGTCCAAGCCGCAGTTTCACGCGATGGCCCTTGGCGACGGCATCCACGCCACATGCATCACCCAGGCGGCACTTTCATCATTATGTTTACTCCCTTGGTGAGGGCGTTTTAGAGGTAGACTTCCAGCTACCCTCGGTGTGGGTTAGAACTGAGAGCGGCCCTCGGTGAGGGCCCTAGTCACGTGCGGGATCGGATGGGTAGGAGGGTTTGGGAGGTGAGGGGGAGCAATGCTCCTTCACTGGTTGCTGGCTTAGTTAACTTGCGCCCTAAAGGACACTTGCTTTTTCCAATTTCCCTTGCACTGCGTTCTATTGTAGCCTTAATTCAATCGGTTTGCCTCATCTTTCATTG